CTAATTGATCTCCACCTACCGAGCGTGTTTAGCGGATTGTTGTGATCTGCTCCTTCCACTGACTCTGCATAACTCCTACAGCCTCAGCACAATCTGACCCTCAGGAGCAAAGCGCATCCCCGTAGAAATGATTTCATCACCTCTTCCTCTCACTCCGTTTGTCTGTTGTTCTCCCACCTTCCCTCCCCTTGTCTATCTTCCATAAACACACCCCCCTCCTTTCAAAACGAAACCAGTTTGTGCTGATGTGAGGGTAAATTTGCGAGCTTACAGGCACGGTGACCTGAACATCCCAGGCCAGCCCGGTGGAGTTAGCCGACTGAACTCCGGGCTAGCCGAGGCCCGTGTATCGGTATTGTTTGTGTAAGAGCACCGGAGGGGATTTGGACAAGCAGTGTGAGCTCTGAATGTGTGACCCCACAGCTGGCCTTACCATTGGATTAGCTCCCCCTGATCCCCACAACCTCCGAACACGCTCCCTTACTATTTCAAGATCTCTCCATTTATGCCCAGCCAAGCACATTGTGACCGGTAATCTTTAGTTTTCTTCTCTCCAAAGGGAGAATATGTACTGTTCAGCTTCTTGCTCTCGCCCCTCCCTCTCGCAGGTTTATCCACACTTCTCCCTGTTTATTTTTGCACTCTCTTACCCAGTTTCAGTCACTCAGTGCAAATTCCCTTTTTTTCACCTCTCTACTCTCACCATCTGTCTTTTCACCCCTGGTTCCTCTCCCTCTAACTACCCGTTCTCTCCTTCGTTCCTCATCTCTTTTCTAAAGGGGATCAGTGGAGCTTAGAGGCCTTCCTGCTTGGTTCATTACTGAGCTGCTCTGACATGGGGAGCTCGTCTCTCTAGTAAGGAAAGGAGAACGCCACTGATGTTTAATACATGGACCACTCTGTTGTCTTTCACGCCAGATAAATTCATCATCAAAAACAGCGCAGAACAGCAACAGAGCATGTAAACCTTCTCTCTCAATCTAGATTCCCAATCTTTCTATCTTTTTTTTTTTCCCCGTGTCCTCACTCTCCATTTAACTTATTGCCTCTCGCTCCTGTTCTCTCTCTCTCTCTCCCTCTCTCTCTCTCTCTTTGTTCCGTCACATCTCAGTGAACTGGAGCAAACCTTTTCATTGTCCTTCAGTCGGAGTAAACACACAAACACAAAGCAACACCGCTGCTTCGGCCCGCAACATGAAACACAGCTCATGAAAGGTAAATGTAGCTATTCCATTCAGCGCATGTGTACGTAAATATGCAACATATACTGGACGTGTCCCTGTGTGTGTGCACACATGCTCCTATTAGCATGTACATCCAACTTCCCACTGCGCGCATTTGTGTGTCTGCATGAGAGAGAGAGAGAGCCGAATGGGTATGAGCGCGTTAGCCTGTTTGCTCTCTGTGTGGGTGTGCATGTGGGCGGCAGGCCCGCCTTGATAACGCCAGAGCCTGTTTCTAATCCAGGCCTCCTCAGTGGGCTGGGGATGTAGCTGTGCCAAGCGGGCCTGCTGCATCACCAACAGATCCCCAGCTGACAGCTCACCTGCTCCTCCTCTCCCTCTGCTCTCCGGACGGTTTCTGAGCTCAAAAACTTTAACAATGGGGTTGAGCTGTGAAGTGTGTAGACCCGTGAAGGAACAACACATGCAGGACAGGAAAAAAAACTATTTCGCCTCAGAGCATGGCGGGGGGGTGGGAAAATAAAATCAAGTAAAATGACAGCTTGCAAAAAAGAGGAAACAAGAAGGGGCAAGAAAGTAACGGTGGAATGCCAGGGGGGTGCCGTTGGTAAAAGGTTTAGGAAGAAATCAAAGTGGTTAAAGCTGATTTATCCCGTGTAAGGACGCCAGGCCCTCTAAGGAGGCACTCAACGGCCCTTCAAAAGTGAAATATCAGCAGCAGTCAGTGCCAGTCATCAGTGCCATGTGTGATGGAAAATCAATCTATTTCATATCAGAGACCTGCGAGGAGAAAGCAAGCGAGACAAGCCCCTGCTCGTCCTCACTGCGCCTCTTTAAATGCCCCCCCCCCCACACCCAACAGTGTAACATCCCAGAATTGTCTGCGTCATCGGAGACATTCACGGGTGTGAATCGTGGCTCAATGTGTAACTGCTGCTGTTCTGCTAGATTAGGTAGGTGATTGGCCATTAATATTCATTTCACAGTGTGTCTTTGTTAGGCGGCAGCAGGGGCTGACAGAGTGTTTGGATGGATTTACTCTACCGTGTATTCCCCGTTAATTTCTATAGGCAAGGTGGTTTACTCACATGGTCCTGGTGAAGCCGATAGTTTTACCGGTTCATTCTATCAGATAAGGTTCAGGCTACGAACATCAGGAAACTGCTCAGTGTTGATCAAACGACAGAGAGTCATCCAATAGTTTGTGTAATTAGTATAATAACAAGAATATGGTCTACTGTTTTCCTGTCTGATGACTATAAGGTGGCAGCAGTGTTGATTTTGACAAGAATTTTTGTTTCGTTTTATTCAAGATTTTGTCAGTGGAACTTTGGTCTAATTTTAGTCAATGTTTTAGTCTCAGATAGCTTCATAACACTGTACTGGATTTTGTTATTATTTCTGTCGTATTGCTACTGGACTAAGAAAAAAATCAATGTTTAGCTGCACTTTAAATGTGTACTGAAACACCGTGCTGGCCTTGGCCTGTCTGGTCTTAATGACAGCGGAGAGCCGCTCCTGGAGGAGTGCAGGTCCAGCAGGCATAAAACCACAGCAACAGGTCTTTCCCTAAAGGACGGCCAACCTAGCGAGGTGATCTGAACAGTCCTCCTCTTAATGAGATTAAGGGACTAATTAGTATGACTGTGGCTGTGTGCACTGAGGAATATGTGCCCCCTATCGGACTAGCCGCGCGGCCCCTGAGAGAGCAGGCCAGACCGGGTCTGCCCCTGGTGTCCATCCCTCCACTGCACTGAGAGGCTAATTAATAGCTTTTGCATCCGCTCCTCCAGATCCTGTACAGCATGCTGAGTTATAGTCCTGACGTTATTGATCTGGGTTCTGGCAACAAATCAAAATTACAAAAATGTATATGTTGGCAATATATTAACAGGACCTGAGATTTCAGACAGCGCGGCGGAATTCACTTTAATCTTTTACAGCAAATAAGAAGCTACGGCTTGTAAAAGTAGGCCATGGAGGCGCATCAGCTAACAGTAGCAAGAGCAGCTAATGATAGAACTCGATATGGAGAAAAACCAAGATTATCTTTGCTCAGGATAATCACAGAGAGAATTCAAGCCAGGGAATTAGAAGCCGGATGAGAAGAATACATACGATCCCTTTCCTTCGCACATTCCCCGACTCCCCCTTTCGCCTCTATCCCCTAACACGTTAAAGTCACGCCAGTGTTTGATTGCCCCTGCGGCGCCACTTTGACCTGTTCATTTAAGATGATGTGCAACTCTCAGGTCTGTTCCAGCACTCATTTGTTCCTCGGTGGGGTCCCCACGGCTGGCTAGCGAGAGGGCCCCACACTGACCAAAGTGCCCTGGGAGCTTTAAACCCAGCCACTCACAACCAAGTAAAGAGACAGCTGAGTGTCATTGTTAATGTGGACACACAGCTCCACAATGGCAAAATCAATGGAGCTATAGGGGACATCAATCTCAACAGCACAAGACCCTTTTGCTTGTCTCACCACTCCTCTAAAGCTCTGAATGAATGGTCGAGAGAAGGAGGGAAGATGAGGGGGGGGGAGAAAGGGAGAAGGAAAGAAAGAAAGAGAACATGGAGGACTGACAGTGATCTTTATTGGCCTTTCCTTCATCCATCTCAAGGGGTTATGCTGTCCTTTGAAGATTGTGTGCATTTAACAGGCAGCCAAGTGGCCAGCCATCCTAATTCACCCAAAAAGAGGCAGAGGTTTTGAGGTAAAGCCTCAGAAGTGCAGCACGGCAGCTGTGTGCAGTTGGCATCGCGCTTGCATTTTCCACTTTCAAATCTCTCTCTGCTTCCCGAAAAGGATGAGAAACACCAAAAAAACAGCTCTCCTCCTTTCAACAACAAAAAAAAGGCACTTGCTTCGTTACGGGGTGACACATGAGATGCACACCCAAGAAAACACAAAAAAACAGCGGGGTTCATTGTCTCCGACACCGACTTAAAGGAAGCCTCCTCATTCCATTAACATATATGCAGATAGGCAGTGAGTAAATGAAAGCCTCCCAAAAAATGGGAGAGATCAAAGACGACAGAATTAAGGCCAAGTAATGAGGATCTTGGCAAGAACCCTGCAAATGCATTGATTGTTTGGCAAGCTGTATGTACTCCTGCTCCATTTTACCCTCCCTCTATACCATTTACTCTTGTGTTTCAAACGCACGCAGGCCGAGCAGTGTGGGCTTTAACGGGGCCTCTGCGTGGCTACGGCTCCAGTAGTGAGCCTAATCACAATCTAATTTACAGTGCAATGATAATGTACTTGGCATAAGGAACAAGAGAAGAGAGATGGGCAGCCCATCACAGCCCTACATACTTTCAATAACACAGACTCTTAAATCAATTACATCCAGCACAAGAGCAGAGGCAGAGTGAGGCTGTGTGAGATGAATCCACAAACCCAAAGGATTTAAAACCAGAAATAAAAACAAAAGAAAGATACAATACAGTATGTAGGAAGTGAGATTATAATTGTACTAAAATGTGTTACACATTGCCACAATCTGAGAAACCAAGATGTCATCAAATCTCTGTGTTTGATGTCACGCAATGTGTTTGATATACATTCAGACAGTTTGCTTTAAGCTATTTGGTACTTTGTTTGAAATGATCACATTGCTACTATTATGTATGCAAGTGCAGCAACATGAGAACAAAAGGAATTGGAATAACATTCATTTTAATAGAGTGGTGGCTGAAGAAATATCGCATTGAGAGCAGATGAGATCAGAGGGAAAGAATGGAGAGAATTAGCCCAGATGAGGCAGATGAAAAGGGGACATGAATAAATGACGGAGAAAAGAAGACAACTACCTCCACGGCTCTCGCTGTCAGCCGGTTTCACCTGGATGGGGCGAGTCATCTGTAGGGGAGAGAGAAGAAAGAGCAACAGAGAGGTTAGCGCTGGCGACTCGGGCTGTCGTTGCTACAACAAGAGGCCACAAACCAGAGGTGTCAAGGCCCTCTCACCCATACTAATAGCTGTGCTGCGAGACTGATCAAAGTGCCTTGGCTGAGAGGAAACCAAAGCACCAGCATGCAGCTAACTTGACTTGACACTGTAGTGTTTCTGCTGCCTGTTATTCAGTGTAAACAAAACAACTCTCGTTCACACATGAAACAGGAAATGTGCGCGCGTGTGTGTGTGTGTGTGTGTGTCTGTCTATCTATACATCCATTCCGAGGCAGTCCCACTAAAAGTGGATCCAGCCAGAGGAGGAGGGGGATCAATGTGGGCCTATTGATCCAGGCCCTTGGGCTGTGGAGAGTGTCTGGCTGGTGAGGATTCTCTGGTTAGGAGGCTCACTCTAATCCACTGGACCCTGATAAGAATGGCATTGCCTGGATTAGAGGCCTCTGTCATCACAGTCTTTGTGTCACGCTCTCCTCCTTCCCCAATTTTACCTCCTTCCTTTTTCATTATTGTTGTTCGAGCTGAACAATTTCACTACGACAGTAAAAGTTTAAAAGATCTAGCTGTGATTTGCAATATGTTTGTTTCAGTTCTTTTTTTTTAAAAGTTGAACACATGCCTCCTCGTCACACATTAGTACACATACGGTTTGTACAGCCAACCCACACACGCGTATAATATGTATATATGTACTGTGGCAGAGCGTAAAGCTTGCAGTATAATTTATGTGCATTGATCTGAAGCCAGTGCCCCTCTTTTCACAATTCAGTCCAAAACAAATGGATTGAACAATAAAAACACACTCATTTTAATAAAATCGGGGCCAAAAGATTACTGGAACATAAAAGCAACCTCTTACCACACTCAGCCATTTACAGTAAACCATTTGTAGCTGCTATTTAAGCATAATTTTATTGCTGGAAACTATTTCCCGTTACCGGGCATCCCAGTCACACCACTGAAAACCATCCAGCGCTGATATTTTTATACGTACACGTGTATATATTTCGTTCCATCACCCTGCCATGCATCTCTTTTTCTGTTCGATACCAGCGCGCGGCTGAAAAAGGTCAGATTTAAAGACAGGGCAGTCCAATAAAAGCATGACATGTTCAAGGAGAAACACCATAATGGGATTTTAAAATGTCTTAATAACATGCTGATATATGGGGGAGAGGCCCGGGCCTGATTCATTAAGTGCTAAACGTATCCATTTTCACCTTGAGCAACTGAGTAACCTTCCCTCGCTGAAATGATTCCATAAATTTGCCCATCTTAAATGATATCTAGCACCGGCTAAGTCTTTGTGGGAACAACAGGGAGGATGCTCTACGCTTGTGAAGGTTGAGGTTTGAGCTCCTTGTTTCCCCCCCCCCACAGTATGCTAATGCCAAGCCACAGGGCGCACTGCTCCACAGCATGTACGGATAGATTACAGAATCAACCACGACTCCATCGCACACGTGTTCAAAGCAACCTCCGAGACAGAAACACCTCCGAGTGGAAGGGGGGGGACATCCGCGAGACAAATTCGCGGATGGCTTTTGCAACGCGGGGGAATCTTTGAATTTGCCTTTGACGTGTCAAACGGACAAAAGATGCTTCCATCCTGCCAGTCGCTTTTTGTTCAAATGCACGTTGGAGGAGGCCAAATCCGTGGCTGTGGCTCCTCGACGATGCTATGATCTCAGCCGTCTCCATGGGGCGCCTGTGTGTGGGAGGCAGCTCTCTGTACAGCTAGTTACTGTTTGGCCTCCAACATGCCAGCCTAATGGTCTATTCATTTGCCCGAGAGCGATGCATTATGGTCCTGAACAGTCACTCCCAATGTCTCTCGGTTTGCTTCATTCCCCTTTCAACACATGGAGAAAATGCCAGCAGAAATGAAGAGCACGTGTGCAAAGCGCACTTGTACTATATGCATGCTCACACATTGCACCGATTGGTAGCTTTAAATAAAGTGCAGCAAGGAGGCCATTCATTAGCTCCACATACGGTGGGGCACGTTTTCACTCTGACGTCTGTGGGCTGGAGGCTCGTAGCTTCTCGACACACACCCACAGTGATGTCGTCACTGCTGCTCCCTTTACAAATAACAACACATTGTAATTGTAAATGCTCCATCCTCCATTTATTGAGTTAAGGGAGTGGTTAGGTGAGGGAGGAGGAGTAACAAAAGAGAAGCAGAAGAAGAGAAGGGGAGAGAATTTGGGAAAAGACAACAAGAGATGGAAAGAGAGGAGAGAGGAGAGAGAGAGAGAGATGCCTGCAACTCTTAGATAAGATTGCTTTGCTGTTGAGTGGCGTTTCTACTTCTCCTCCTGCCTTTCACACACACACACACACACACACACTGAAAAAGCACACCTGCACTACACAAACAACCACTTGTTTCCCTACAGACAACCCCTGCTAAAAATATAAATAAATACTGTATATAATAAAATATAAATGCTAGGGACGTTCTCAAACCAGATGTGAAATTCAGCGAAGGACAAATAATTTGTCTCAAACAAATATTTGTTCTTTCTGAAGGTATTCTTGAGGTTATTACCGATGAACCAGATTGGGGGAAGGTTGGTAGGGTTATGGATTTCAACTCAGATGTGGATGTTTAATTATGGATGGTTGGAGATTTAAATTTTCAATGTGGTGTCAAACTTAAACGTAACTGTAATGCTGATAGAAGAACATATTAAATAGGCACTTCATATCAAATAGGATGCCGACCCTTGCTGTAGTCCACCGAAAAAAAGATTCTTAGAAGACAGTGTTTTGCATGTTTCAGCCATATTGTAAACAACACTGTAAATAAAAGTCCACACGCTAATATCTTGTTGAAAGTGTTTTTCGTGTCTTCCATTTATCTATTCATTTCAGCAATAAAAAAAACAATCGTGGAAAAAAAACGATCAGTAGAGGGAAACAAAGACTCATTTGACAAGTGTGTGCTGACTTGTGTTTGGAGAGAGGCTTTGAAATAATGTATTTATGTTGAAGAAACAAACATCGGCGTTGGGGAGGGCACATTTCTGAGGACATATGGGACATATTTCACAAATACAGCACTGTGCATTGGTTCTTTTGTATCTCGAAGGCCAAGTTAAAGTGAATGTGAGCTGAATGTATTTTTTCTCATCTGAATGAACAAGCTCCTGTGATGACTCAGTGGCTTCACACCCTTCAAATGAGTTCCTACTCTTTATCTTCCTCCTCTCGTAGAAAATGCACTTTTTGTTTTTCTTGTTCAAGTGCTGGTCCTTCTGTCTTTCCCAATGCACACAAACTGTGCTGCTCTAAGGGCTTTGACAAATCTATAGTTCCATATGGTTTTATTAAGCAGTCTCATTTGCCAAGTTAAGCCTCCAGTCAGTTGAATTAAAGCTCTTAGCACTAGTATGCTGTTTGATATGGCGGGTGAGATAGACACCCCCAGGCCTAAAGTACATAATCTAGTGTGCATTGGGCAGGAATAGACACACATTGCCTGTTGGGTTGTCTGTTTCTTGTTAGCCATTTCTATACTTTGACTAATGAACACGCCTACATGCGACTAGTCTTAGATCAACTTAGGATCACTACACAGATCTATGTTTTATCATTAAACCGGTAAAGTTTGTCCTGGCTGGGAACAGTTATTAGCCACAAAAAAAGAACCAAAAGCCTTGGGCTGCGGCCACAAAAGACATTCCACTGTCTGATTTCAAATTACACAGAGCAAGTCAAGGAACTGTAGTCGGGACTTGGCCTGTTAGCAGTGTGGAGGATTTAGAGTGTACTGTTGGCACTATCTGCGACAGTAATGAGTTCATGACTAGTAGAGTTGAGCGGGATAGAGCAGTATAGGGTTCCAGACTCCACACTGCTGAAACCCCAGAGAGGGCCAGTAGCAAGGCAATAATACTGCTTTGGAGAGGGTTTCAAAGACCTGGTGAAATTCCAAGGCCCAAAACTTTGCTAGTCTTTAACTTATACTATCCAAAAAGACAGGAGAATGCAGTAAACAGGAATAAAATTGCAATAAATCTTGTCCTGTTTTTTGGCAGAAGTGTTTTTTTTTTACAGCAGCTACGCGACGGCACTTACTTACAGTGCAGCGCTTGCAATAAAATAACTCTAACAGCCATACAATATGTGTGATGTCTCCTGGCTTCCACTCAGGTTTAATATAGAGTAATGTTTGTCCTGGGATCATTAATACGTATTAGTGGGCCATCAAAGCTCATGTTGCTGCACTGCTCAGTAACAGGAGCATAAACAGCCCCCTTCTGACTGCGCCGTCTCTGCTGATATAATTAATATTTCCAATTATTGATCTGAGGGAGTGCTGAGTGGTGGCTGTCCGGGGGCCCCGGCTTCAACTAATAAATCTGTACTGTGTACAGTGCAGGGGGGGAGAGAGAGCGAGAGAGAGAGAGAGAGAGAGAGAGAGAGAGAGAGAGAGAGAGCCGTGGTGTATAATGATTTATAGTTATGAAGTGCTTCATTGCAATCACAATAATTGTTCATTAACAATAAAATAAAATGTAAAAATCCCAAATTACAAATGCACATCAAATGTAAAAGGCTTAGTCGAGCTGGGTAATGAACTATTTCCTAATATCGTAAATTAACTGGATATGAAAAGACATTTTACATGAAGATGTGATGGCATTATAGTGTAGTTTTGCAGTGATGATGCTATTTTTTCAACAAAACAATGCCATTAAAACACTGAGACGAGAGTCTTTGTGATAAACGAGTACTCTGGGTTTACTTCTGGCTCTTTATTCTTTACCAGTGTTGGGTTACAAAGCTTTACAAAGTAACGTGTTGGAGTGGTCCGATGTAATGCGTAACGCAACGAGTTGCTTTGTAATTCAAAGTAATCAGTTATTTAGTTATGTTGTCATACGAGGAATCCTTTGCAAGAATTCACAGTGAAATGCAAATTGTGCCCTGGGGGGATA